AAGTAAGTTCCCAAGAACAGAGTGACCCATTTGGCCATGCCAGGTCAAGCGAGAGCGAACATCTTGAGAAATTTGAGCACCTCATGCCCTTTCAGCACCGCTCAGGTTCCAGATTAGTTTTCTTCTCTGGTCTCCCTCCCTGGGCTCAAATTCTCAACAACTGAGAGTGGGAGAACATTGCTGACTCCTAGATGCCTCCCCACTAAAGGCCTGTGCCTTCCTGCTCCTTATGACAAGCGTTCCCACCCACAGCCCAGGGGCCAAACTCAGCCTGAGAGTCAAGAGGCAGCAAAACCCTCAGGCACCTAAGAGACTGGCCCTATGCTCCCCTGGACATGTGAAGAGACAGCAAATGCAAGGGAGACAGCCAGCAAGGCCACTGCTAGTGTCTTCACCCACCCGTCCTAGGCCAGCTGACTTCCATAGCTGGTTCCTATCTGCCAGGCTCTGCCAGGCCCACGGTCATTACCACTGAGGTACTGGGCTTGAACTCAAGAAGGCCACATGTGGAGACAGAGGGAAGGCAAGAAGGGAACTGGGAGACAGGAGGGTTGAAACTGAACCGGGACAAGATAAAAAGTAAAGCCAGAATTCTACTTGGTCTTTTTTTTTTTTTTTCCATTCTCCTTTATTCCATAAACACCTAGTTCCAAGTTGCACAAATCAAAAAATAAAGGTAGAGAAAGGTGTAGGGAAGATTTCTGTGATGTGCAGGGGGTGAGAAGGGAGGAAGGGTTGGGAGCCAGTCCTCTCCCTCCACACACAGCCCCGAATGCGGGTTGTGGCCCCTGCAGGGGGGATCTGAGGAGGAGGTGGCAAAAGACCCAGGGTAGCTGAGGGATGGAGGAAGCCCCTAAACCCAGAGCTCACCCAAAAGCCCCTTCAATGCATGACAAGGGTAGAATGGGGAAGGTGAGGAGGTTCAAAGATGGAGCAGCAAAATGAAAAATCAAGTTAGCAGATAGAGGAGAAGCGGAGTCATCATGGTAGGGGATTAAAGAAGGAAAAAGTAGGTAAAGGGGGCAGTAAAAGGTTCTCCCTGAGACCCCCAGGGAGAGGTGGGGGCCAGCTTGCCTGTTAATTTAATATTAAATTGGGAGTGGGAGTTGGAGAGGAAAATGTTATTCCAGGGGACGATTTCTCAGCCTCTCAGCCTGTACCTGGAAGGGGAAGAGAGAAGAGTACAGATCAAAAGAAAGACAAATATAAAAGTGGGGAGTTGCGTTTAATCCCCTCTTCCAGGGGCGCCTGGGTGGCTCAGTGGGTTAAGCCGCTGCCTTCGGCTCAGGTCATGATCTCAGGGTCCTGGGATCGAGTCCCGCATCGGGCTCTCTGCTCAGCAGGGAGCCTGCTTCTCTCTCTCTCTCTCTCTCTCTGCCTCTCTGCCTACTTGTGATCTCTGTCAAATAAATAAATAAAATATTAAAAAAAAAAAAAAAATCCCCTCTTCCAGGGACAGCATTCTTCTCTTTCCAAACCAAAGAAAACTTATACCACCAAAAGGCAGCATCTGCTGGGCACATGGACTGCTGCCTCCTCATGGCAGAGGCCTGGGCACAGGTCCACTCCTCAACCCCCCTCCGTGCTCCACACCTCACCTACTCCTCCCCCTCAGTACTTACAAGAGAGGCTGAGGGCCTAGGGCCCTCACCAGTCATAGCGGCGGGACTGTCGGGAGGGGGAGTCGTCAGGTCCCTGTATAGCCAGGCGGGGAGGCCCCTCAGCCCTTCGTCCCCCACCCCCTGAAGCCTCATGCCGCCGGAATTCCAGAGGGCGCTGCTGCCGGAACCGGGACGTCTCCCTCCGCCATTCATCATCAAACGCTGCGGCCTCACCTGAAGAGCACAGAGAACAGACGTGACCACTTAAGTATATAGGCTGGCTTCTGGAAGCAGATACAAGAGTGAGCCCCAGCCTTCTAAGATGAAGAAACAGGGCAAAGCCTGGAAAGTATTATGCGTGGGGATGTGTTGAGGAAGAGCAGCAATTTCTTTTCTTAGTATCTGGTTCCACTAGCTAACAATATGGTTCCACTAGCTAAGAGCCAACAGTGATTCCAATATGGAAGCCACCAGCAGCCCAGAGGTATGACTACTGAAGAAAGAAATTAGGAAAGGCACAGTTATTAAGCTAAGGAGCATCGTCCCAAGCACACAGTAAGTATTTAATAAATATCTGTTGACTTGAAAAAAAAAAGGGGGGGGACTGATCCTGACAGATGGCCCCTCCTCCTGAGGACAATGCCAGCACCTGACAACAAGGCTCAAGTGAGGTAAGACCAGGGGCCCACCACTAACTTTGCCAAGAAATATCTACAGAGGTAGAGAGAGAAAGTTTGTATCTTCTAGCTCCTAGGAACCAGACCAGGGGCTACTGGGCCAGGAATCAGAAGGGTGATGCAGCAGGGAGGAAGACTCACTCTCATCCAGGTTGATATAATCCTGCCGCTCCTCCTGGTCCCCTGTGCGGTGGTTTCGGGAGCGCTGGAGGATGTGAGCCCGGTCTCGGATGTGGTGCCCAATGGACATCTGCTCTAGCCCACTGTCTGAGTCCCGTACAGTCCTCCGAGTCTCCCGGATCTGGGATGAGGCAGAACATGGCACACTGAGCCACCCCTTCCAAAGCCCTGGCTACACCAAGCCAGGATAGAAAAACCACCCACAACGCAATCCTGAAAAAGGAAGCCAGGCTTTCTGTGTGTCATTCCGTTCTGCCCGCTCTGGGAAAGGAGAAGCCCTCCAACTCACCCCGCCTGGAGCCGAGCGCATCTCTGATGTCTCCTGGTAGACCTTCGGGGCCCCATCCCCCGTATTGGAGTAGGAGATGACAGTGGAGGATGAAAAGGTCTGGCAATTGCCTCCAGCTGTCATGTGTTCCTGAGGAGGAAAAGGTACTACAGGACTGAATGGTCCCTCTGAGGAAGGGATCCCACACTTCAGCTGCCTGTTCTTGTCCCCCACTTTCTCATGACACGTGGGAACTGAGAAAACCTCAGGGCTCATCAGCACCCCCCAGATTCTTCGGAGTCCAACAATAAACAAGAGGGACCTGAAGACACGGAGCCCTAATTGCACACTTAAAAGACTGCTGTTGCTGCTTCCTACTCAGGTGTGAGGGCACGTAAGGGAATCCAGTGGCCTCTGGGTTCAGTGACTTCAGCCAGCTTGAGCCTGTCACCATACTTTTCCCTGCCCCTGCCTCCGAGGACTCAAGGGTCATTACTGAGAACAAGACTGCAAAAACATATGGGGCCAGAGCCTCACCATGTTCCCAATCATGTCGTTCATCATCCCAAACATGTCCATGAAGCCACCCGACTGCAGCAAAGAGATGGAAAACAGAGTCAGGAAAGCATAACCAGTGCTCAGATGGTCTCCTTTAGGTACCCGCTAGACAGACACACAGCTACACTTTCCCTGTCTCTTCTTCCTCCACAAGGAGCAACTGCTCTGTCTCTTCATTAGCATGACCAGAATATAGAATGTTCTCTTTGTGTTTCCCTTCCTGTATTACGGCTGGCTTCCTCTTCAGTCTCTACGGCTGCTCTGATCCAATTTTCTTTCTCCCGACTGTCCTACTTCCTCCTATCTTTAGGAAGCACACCCAAGTAAATGGACTCCAACCTATAAAAGGATTGGCCATAAAACTAAAGACAACAACAACAAAAGCCATCTTTGTTGGCCCTTCACCTGCATCTCCATCCTCAGAAAGACAAACTTTGCAAGGCAATTACATTCTCCTAACAGGGATGGCTCCTAGAATGCAGGGATCAATAAGTTAGCATCTTTAACCCACAGGACTCCTAGCACACAACAGGCCCAGAGCTTTGCAAACACTCTAAAAAGATTCCAGGGAGCCACATTTGGAAATAACATCTAAGGGTATATAGCATGTCTGAGAATGGAAGGACACGAGGACATCAGGACTCACCATTCCCAGCATCCCAAAGGGGGAGACAGCCCCAGTCTACAGGAAAAGATAAAGAACAAATTAGAGACCACGTCCTCCTCTCTCCCTACAATCCCAAACGGAGCCCATGGCCTCAGTTTTTTTTCATCCTCCTCTCAAAATGGGTTCACGAAGCCCTTTTGCCAGACCCCCTCCCCCACTCCTAAAAAAGATCACTGCACTTGCTAAGTTGGCTGAAGTGCAAGAAAAATTCAGGACCTTATTAATTCAGGACCCCCAGCATTTCCTTGGATCTCAGGCATGTCACAGCACCATTACCTGCATCCTACGGCTGGCAGGTCTGGTCCCAGGCATGTTGCCATCTGTGATGCTGAGGAAGGGGCTATATCCAAAGCCACCTGACAACATTCGGTTCATATGCTGACGGTGAATAGCAAAGGGGTCCCTGTGGAGTGAGTATACCGTGCGGATGGCGGAGGGGCCAAACAGTCAACACCTTCCTCCCCCACAAAACAGAAAAGTTCTAGGGAAACAGTGGCACAGATGCCTGTTTCCTCTCTGAGTCTGTGCTGGAGTCGAGTATCCAGCTGGTTCCAGCCAATGCCAGCCATGGGAACCCAGATGTCTGTCTGAACTACTTAGAGCCCTGAAGTGGAGTAGGATGAGTGCTCTAGAACAGGAGGGGGAGGGAATACTCACATCAGGAACATGGGATCCTCGGGCTCCACGTCCCTCATGAAGCGGAACATCCTGACTTTAGCTCCAGGGGGCTCCACACTGTAAAGATGCAGAGGCTCAGCTACGCGGATGGAGCAGGGCTTTTGCACAGCCGGCTCCGTGTAGAGACTCTCAGAATACTGTCCCTTCCAAATGCTGTAAGCGAGCCGCGCAAACTCCAGTGAGACCCTCTCCAGGTGGTGTTCGACACCACCCTCAAGGGAGAGAAGAGCTCTTCAAACCTCTCAAGGAGGGCCGTGGAAAATTTTTCCAAGCCTCGCAGTTTTCTGCCTCCCCCCGCTCACAGCCATCCTCTCCCCAAAGCCCTGGCCAGAAGCATGCCCCCCCCCCCTCCCCCAACGCCACGGTTCCGGATGCGAATCCCGAGGGCTGGCCCTCGCTCCAGCAATGACCCCAGCCACCTCGCCTTCGCCCCCTTCTTCCCCGGCCGCCCGCCTGGCCTCCCCCGGGGCTGGCCTCACTATCCCCATCGCCCCAGTCCGCCGATCCCCCGGTCCCCGCCTCCCCGCCGGGCGAGCAGAAGCGGCGGGCCTGGCCTTCTCCCCTCCCCGCATCGCAGGTTCCCAGACCCCGCAGCCCCGCGGGCCCGCTCCCGCCCCGGCCCCGGCCGCCCGCTCTGCTCGAGCCTCACCGGTCCCCGATTCGGGCTCAGCGGCCCATCCGGCCCGTCTAGCCTCTCGGTGCGCTGCAAGATCGGGGGTTGCGGCCCGAGACGCGGGATTGGTCCGGGCTTGCTCTTCTCGGCCTCCCGCGCCGCCTCCTCCCACGGCTGCCACCTCCGTAGCCCCCCCCTCGGCCCACGGAGCCCGAACCGCGGCCAGGCCCGGACGGAAGTGACGTCACGATGGGACCGCCCGCCCCGGGGCAGGGCCCGCAGAGCTCCGCCCACTGGCGGACGAGGGGCGAGGGCTGGGGCCAGCTCCCGGGGCGGTGGAGTGTGGTTCTGCGGGGTTCTCCCGGGACTAGGGGAGGGGAGGCCTCATCACCAACTGGGATTTGGGCTCTGGACAGGAAGGGGCTCCCTGTGAGGGTGCGGGGAAAGAGCAGGGGCGCACCATCCTCGGCAGGGACGGGGTGAGGGAGGGCGGTGCGGCACATTCCATTAGGGGAAGGAAGAGGACGGGGGGCAGATTCCCATGAGGGGAGGGGCGGGCTCCCTGTGGGCGACGAGGTGGGGCGGATCCTGGGGGGAACATTAAGCAGATTTTCTACCCGAGCGGCTTGCAGCCCGAGAGGGAGGAAGGGCGGCCGTTCTGCGGGGGAGGTGCTAAGGGCCAGTCCCATCGGGAGGAGGCGCGTTCCAAGCAGGGGCGGGGTCCTCGGAATGACGTAGAGGGGGAGGTGACAGTTCTGTCCCTGTCTAGCTCTGCCTTCGAGAACTCCGGAGGGGCCAAAGAGAATCCAGGTTGGGAGGGCAGGCCGCCAGGTGGCGCTCTTCGGCCAGGCTGGAACTTCAGGTCTGCGGGACCGGCGTTCGCGAGGTTCCTGGACCCTTCACTTAGCCTGTGTGAAGGAAGGGTCGTCTGGGCAAAGGTTGTCGTTCTGAAATCGTTTAGTTTAGTGCCAGTCTCTCCCCTTTCTTTTCTCTAACTGCTGTGTCCTTAAGAGCTCCCAGTCCCGCACCGATCTTTCTTGCCTCTAGTCAGGTGGGTAGGTCAAGGGTCTAAAGTTTGGGAGAAGGGGGGAGAGGTCCATTAACCAGGATCACCCGGGGCGGAGCTAAAATCAGACCCAGAAGACCCGACTCCAAGGCCAAAGATTGAAACTTTGACATACTAAATGTCTTGCATAAAATCTGGCCCAACTGGAGAGAAGGGCCCTCCCCCAGGGTGTCAGGGGAATTTGGACTGTCTACGATGGACTTTAAACCAGACTCATCCAAACTCTAGCTCTCCCTGATTCTTTACTCTGGCTGCTAGCCATATTAGTGCTATGTGGAGCCTGACAATGCCAAAGACTTGTTCCCAATACTTCCCTAGGAGTGAAGAAGGAGGGGGTCCCTGGTGACTCAGGAAAAGATACTGGGAGCAGGGCTTCTCAGGTTTCTTTGGACTTGATCATTATTAAAGAGGGAAAAACAATAGTGGAGACAGAGGGGGAAAGATAATTTAGAAGCTGTCAGACTGGCAAAACCAAACAAAGATAAAGACAGAATAAAAGCAAATTTGCTTTTCATGATATTTCTGGGAAAGAGACTTAGTAAAATCTTTTCAATTTATTCTCCAGATCCTCTATCTCTGGACATCCCACCCTGCAACTGCCCCTTTTCCTCTTGCCTCAAAGGCAGTATGACACGTGACCAGGTATTCTCTCAGAGTTCTGTGGCCCAGACTTAACTAGTGTGGTCCCTCACCTTTCAGCTTTTCCCTTCTCATTCCATTATGTCCAGCCTTCACAGAATTGGATAGGAGATAGAACTTAACTTCCGGCCTCCTCCTTTTTTCTTTTTCCATTACCTGGTACTGTCTACCTACTGCCTTTAGATGCCTAGAAACCTTTCTCCTCTTCCTTATAAAACTTAATAATCAGGTATCGGTCATATTTACCTTTGCCTGAGTTTAAATCAGTGTATTACCTCTCCTAGGAGTATTTACAAATTATAATTTAGCTTCTAACTATGCAAGAAAGCTCCAAACCTGGACTTTGTCTGAGATTAAAAAGAAATTCTTGAATAGGTGGGGATGAAGAAGGACCTGGAAGAGCTCATTTCCAGAGTCCCCAGAGACATGCCACATAGGCAACTATCTACTCCAAAAATGGAAGGAATGTAATTTTATAAGTACCTTTTTTGTCCCCCACAACCAGAGTTTGTGTCTGTCTCCCTTCTCCCTTCCCTTCCCTGTCCCTCCCTTCCATTCCTTTCCTCCCTTTTCCCTCCTTCCTTCCTTCTTTCCTTCCCCCCCCTTCCACCCTTCCTTCCTCCCTTCCTCCCTTCTCTTCCCTTCCCTTCCCTTCCTTCCTTCTCTGTCCAGTGAACTCTGAAGAACAGAAATTTCTCTGTCACTGGAGTGTCCTTTATATGATAAGATGTAGGAGGGACAGTGGGCCCTGCCAGGAGTGAGGTTTAGCACAAGTAGGATAGCATTTGGGGAAGGAAGAGAAACAATGTGGTTCTTATACTTATACTTGCTGCTCTGTCTGATGGAGCCACAGTCAGAAAGTCCTTTGAGAGCAGAGCTGGGCCAGGAAAAGGACCCTCTTTAGATGAAGGTCATACATTTGGGGCAATCCCAGGACAGTAGGATATTGGAACAGAGTGGGGCTGGGACAATGATGTGTGAGTTAGGGAAGACTGGATTTCCTGCCTGAAGAGCCAAAGTGAATGGGTGTGACTGAGTGTGTGTGTGTGTGTGTGTGTGTGTGTGTGTGTATGTGTAGCATATAGCATTATGTCTTGGGGAAAAGAGAAAAAGCCTGAAAATTAGTGCTAAGTTGCCATAGATAGAGTTGTACTGTGGACATCAGGTCAGAGTAAGATTAAAAAGTGATTCGAGCATTTTTTTTTAAATAAACTTTTCAGTTTGTTTTCATCTCCATATCCATTCAACAAATATTGAATGCCATCGTGTGTCAGGTAAAATTCCTGGCTCTGGAAATACAGTAGTGACACAGACAAAAATAAAGCACGGGAGAAGGGGGACAGATGAATAAGCAAGTATTTGGGAAATGGTGGTTGCTTTTTAGGGTAACTAGGAAGTCCTAAATGATCAATTGACATTGAAGCAGGGACCTAACAAGCTCAGGAAAGCTGAGGTGAGAGCATTCTGGGCAGAGGAAACAGTAAGTGCAAAGGCCCTGAGGCAGAAGTATGCTTAGTATATTCAACACAGAAGCCAGTGTGCCTAGACTGATGTGAATGAAAGGAAGAGCAGTAGTAAGAGACAAGGTCACAGAGAAAGAAGAAGCTGTATCATGTGGGACTCTGTAAGACCTATAGAAGAATCCCTCTGGCTCTTGTATGGAGAACAGACTATTGGGGGGACAACAGCAGAAACAGAAAGACCATTAGCATGCTGTTGCCATAATCCAGGTGAGACCCTGTGATGTCTTAAGAGTAGATTCAAAACAGCGGAGGAAGAGGAGTGGTCAGATTCTAGATAGATTTTGAAGATGGGGCCAACAGAATTGGCTGATGGATGGATGTGGTATGATGGAGAAGAGTCAAGAATGACTCCCAGATTTTTTTGACCTGGGCACCTGAATGAGAAAGAAATGACCATCCTGCTTGCTGCACTGACTGAGAATAGACAATATTGGTTTAAGAATATACTGAAATTGTGTCTAGCTGTAAGATCCTGACCACGTGGATACACAGGGTAACTAACCCAGACGGTCTTACCTTCAGCAGCTGACTAGCCCAAGTAGGCTGAGATGTAGAAATAAGCGAATTCCATAGGCAGTTTGACCACAAGATATTAGTTGTTAGACCATCTTGAGTGGATATGCTAATGTGAACGGTCAGCTTAGAATTTGAAGGGTTTTGTTTTTTAAAATTATTTATTTATTTATTTGACAGGGAGAGAGACAGCAAGAGCAGGAACACAAGCAGAGGGCAGAGGGAGAGGAAGAAGCAGGCTTCCCACTGGGCAGGGAGCCCCATGTGGGGCTCGATACCAGGACCCTAGGACCATGCCCCGATCCAAAGGCAGACGCTTAACAACTGAGCTACCCAGAGGCCCCGAATTTGAAATTTTCAGTCTTAAGAACTTCCTATTGTCTGATCTTTTCAAGAAGATATCCAGAAGGAGGCAGAACACCTTGTGATTAACATGGACATTAAGGGCTGAAGTTTGAGCTACATGTATGACAGTTTTTATCAAGATCTACTGAGCTTTTACTCTGTGCCAGATGTGGTGCTAGGGGCTGGAGATAATAAGGCAAGGAAGATGTGGTCTCTGCCCTGGCAATTTCACAGCTTAGTGAGGGGGGCAACATGGAATTGATTATAATCCTGTGATGAAGGCTGCGGTAGAAAGATGTATATTAAGAGGGCAAAAGCCATTCAGAAGAGGGAGTGTGACCTGGGGACAGGGGTAAGGAAGCCAGGAGACCATTCCAAGCAGGAAATGTGATCAGTGCAAAGGCACAGAGGTATGCTCCATTCGGGAAGAATTGGAAGGAGTAGAAGAACTGATGAAGCAAAACTTTTGAGGGAACAGTGCTGAGAGAGAAGGGTACATAGGTTAGGTTTAAAGGGACCAGTCCTCAAAGGGCCCTATTTTCTTCTGGACTTCATCCTATAGGCCTAGGGAAGATATCAAAAGGTTTTATATAGGGAAATGGCAATAGTTGGTTTGTATTTTATTTTATTTATTCTTCAGTTGATTTGTATTTTAGGTAGAAAGTCAGTTTATGCATTTCAGGAAACATTTTTGAGCTTCTGCTGTATGCCAGGTAGGGAGGTGAGTGCTGAAGATACACAAATTCTTAAAGTATGGTCAAAAACCCTAATGGAGGAAGTCAGCACATGATCTTGACCCCTGGAGCAGAGACAGGACTGAGTTTGGACAGAAGGGGAGGCACTCCAGGAATCTTTAGAAAGTGGAGGAGCTGGGGAGGGAAAGAAAAGGTGGTCTTGGATGACCCCCTGGCAGGAATGAATGGGTGGAGGACAGTACCTTTAACTGAACTAGAAAGCAAGAGAATCTCAGTGGGATCATGCAGGGTTTGAGGAGCTCCAGAGGACTGAGGGATTGATGACCAGAAGGGAGACTGTGAAGAGTAAGAACAAGACCTCTGAGACCAGTCACCTGGGAGGGTTCAGGCACCGCTGTCATTGCCTCCTCCTGGTTCCTGGGTCCTCCCTCCCGTCTTATACCCTGTGGGCAAAAGGAGTCTCTAGCTGTCACTTCCATAACATTTCCCGTAGACTTTTCTAGACTTGTCATTTCTACTCTCTGTCCTCTACCTCAGGCACATCGTCTGTTTAACCTGTAAAAGTGTGGGAACCCTGAATAGACTTGCACCGACGGTAAAGTGTATGACAACAGCCCAGATGACCTTCAGCATGGCAGCCAGAGTTGCTCTCGCCATTCTACCTATGGAACACTGGGGATGGAGAAGGGCATGAAGGTGGATAAACAAGAGACAGTTTACCGCTGAGGTATAAAGTAGTGCTGTCCAATATGGCGGCCACTAGCCATAGGTGGCTATTTAAATGTAATTAAAATTAAATAACCTTAAGAAATGCAGTTCCTTATCTGCAGGAGCCACATTTCAAGGGTTCATAACCACATGTGGCTAGTGACCACTGTATTGGAAAGTGCAGATATAGAACACTTCCATGATCACAGTAAATTTTATTCGGCAGGGGCACCTGGGTGGCTCAGTGGGTTAAGCCTCTGCCTTCCACTCAGGTCATGATCTCAGGGTCCTGGGATCAAGCCCCACATCAGGCTCTCTGGTCAGCGGGGAGCCTGCTTCCCCTTCTCTCTCTGCCTACTTGCGATCTCTCTGTCAAATAAATAAAAAAATCTTAAAAAAAAAAAAAGTAAATGTATTTCTTAAAAAAAAAAAAATTATTGGGCAGACCCAGAAACTATCTATAAATGTATCTTCCTTCCGGACTTTTCTGAAGGCCTGTGAAGGCTTTCTGAAAAGCGTAGGCAAGGAGGAGAAACAGAAAGGAGGGCAGTAGAGGGTTGGGCAGTGGCAACTATGCTTGGTCTAAAAGTGAAGGAGGTCAGCAAGAGGGCAGGGAGAATTACAAAGCCGATCAGAATATCTGGAGGAGACGTAGGATGGTAAAACCAATTCTTCTAGCTGGAGAGAACATTCATGGGGAAGTAGGAAAGCCACACAACTTTTGGTTGTGAGGATGATGGCATAAAAGACAGCGGCCGCCAGGACATCAGTAGTTAGAAGATTCCAAGTCAGAGAGAAGCCTACTCAAAGAAAGAAGGTTGAGAGGGCTCTGAGAATGAGGACAAAATGGTGTGTCAGGGCTAGGAAGTCAATGATTTATTGAGCTCTTCCTCTTTGGTACCTAGCATCACGCTAGGTATTTTGCACAGGAGGAGACAATCGGTAGGAGGAACAGGGTGGAGGAACGAAGGGAGCCTATTCTGAGTTGGGAACAATGGGTAAGGATTTGTAAAATCAGGAGAGATCCAGGAGACATTCTAGAAAAGCGTACCCATGGAGACAGTGTTCTATCTGCTTAGTGGAAAGAATGCTGGATGTGTGTCCCTTTCCAAAGGACTTTTTTTTAATTTTTAAAAAAGATTTTATTTATTTGAGAGAGAGAGAGCGAGAGAGCTCACAAGCAGGGGGAGTGGCAGAGGGAGAGGGAGAAGCAGATTCCCTGCTGAGCAGGGAGCCCAATGTGGTCCCCATCCCCTGACCCAGATATCATGACCAGAGCTGAAGTCAGAGGCTTAACCAACTGAGCCACCCAGGAGCCCCTGCATGTCCCTATTCTGGCTGTACTTTGAGCTCTCCATATCTATTCCTTGAGGGGAGGGACCATCTCTTTTCCAGCTTTGTGTCTCCATCACAGAGCACAGTGTCTGACACCAAGGAGGAACCCCCAAGTTTGGTTTGATTTGTTTGTTTTTAAGATTTTATTTATTTATTTGACAGAGAGAGAGATCACAAGTAGGCAGAGAGGCAGGCAGAGAGAGAGAGAAGGAAGCAGGCTCCCTGCCGAGCAGAGAGCCCGATGTGGGGGTCTATGTGGGGCTTGATCCCAGGGCTCTGAGATCATGACCCGAGCCGAAGGCAGAGGCTTAAACCCACTGAGCCACCCAGGTGCCCCGTGAAGAGGCTTTCTTAAGGAGCATTCCTGCAGGCAACAAACATGATCAAACCTAGGCTGGTTTAGGTCTCTCTCTAGGAGTCCCTCTCAACTCTCCACTGACTTGAGTTTTGAAACCATTAAAAAAAGAAAAGAAAAGAAAAAAAAAAAAAAAAGGAAAAGTAAGGAAAAGAAAATGAGTTATACTGCAACTGGAATGGGGATAAAAAAGTACAGTGAGGAGTGGGGAGGTTCAACTTTCAGGTTTCTGTTGTCTAATGACCCCAAGGATCACCAGGCCTTCCTTAGCACTTAACTTATTAGAGAAACAGGCAAGCTGAAAAAAGTCAGGAAGCTGGAGACAAGCAAGAATTAAGAATCAGATGGCAAGAGTTTGAACTGAACACCTTTCACACAGTAACGACGTAAATCTCTAGGATGTCAGGCCAGCAGCCATGGTTTCCAGAGGGCTCATGCCTCCCTTGTTCTCACCTGGCTTCCTTTTTCCCACCTCCAGAAAATGTGTAAGAAGCGGGTTTCCCCATTCAGCTAGTGGGAGAAATTCTCAGTTGGACTGAGGAGTAGTGGAACTCTAGGAATAGGCAAGCCTCTACAAGGCCTCAGACGTAGTTCTCTGGAAGGAGCAAACACTAGCTGGCACCATTTAACACCACGGGCCCCAGAGGCTCAGAAACTACCCCTAAGAACTATGGGGTTAGGCTTTCAGCATCCCACTTGCTCCAGATTCATCCCAAGTTCCACTTCTAGCTTCTTTCTCATGAAGCCAAGACGTCAGGAGGCCGGGTCTGCTGTCCAACCAGACAGGAAAGGATAAGAGATGCTTCTCCCCTGCAGGAAGGGAATTAGATCTAGGCTTTCTGCTTCCTGGATCTTTTTCCTGTGGTCCCTGGGGACCCTAGTGTCCAAACTCTTAGATTCTCAAGGCACTCCCTTGGGCCTTGGGGCAGGATTCCCATTCTCTGCCTCTCCATCTCCCTGGAATTTTCCACTGCAGCTGCCTCCACTCCCAGACACCCCTCCCTGGGCAAAATTCCCGGCTCCCTCCGCCTCCCTTTCCTAATCACACCTCATTCCCACCCCCAGCCCAGAGGCCCAGCCCACAGTCCGGCCCACTCCCCACACTAACCCCGGTGGTTCCAGTTAGAGAAATGGGAGGCCAGGCCCCTATTCGAGGGTGACAGGGAGGGTCCCAGGCTCTCTCCAGGGCGGGGAGAAAGGACAGTGGAGGGGCTGGTCCCCTGTGGGGCTGGAGTGGGGGGGGAGTGGCCCTCCTCAAATCCCCATATAAGGCAGGGCGAGCAGTTAGACTCCTGGATTGGCTGATTCAAATGAGCATTCCACCTGGCAACAGGGTTTCTATTGGTTCTCAGGGAAAATAGGAGGAAGGTGGATGGAGGTTGTTGGTGGCGGTGATTGGAGGGGGGGAGGGGATTGGAGGTGACCGGAGTGGGGGGCGGTTACCAGGGCAACAGGGTAAGAGCCCAGCAGGGTGTCCGAGACGGCAGGCGGGGCTCGGAGGTGGAGAAGGGGAAGAGGAAAGGAGGGTGGGAGGGAGAGGAAAGAGAGTGCCCGGAGGGAGCGAGACAGGGAGACTGGGTGGGGGGTAAAGGAGAGGGGAGAGGGAGAGAAATGAAGCAGGAGAGTACAGAGATGGAGAGGGTCAGAGATCGCCAAAGACATCAGTGAGTGAGTCAGAGAAACAGACTGAGATAGAGATGGGACGGTCTCACAGAAAGATGATCCGAGTCCTGCAAGGAAAAACCTGGGTGGGGCTCCAAGATTTTTGAGGAGATGGAGACTGAGAAACTGATGGGAAGAGTGAGAAAGAGAAATTGGGAGGTGTGTACACTGTAGGACCAAAAGATGGTATATTTAAGCACTCAGATACCAAATGATGATGATTGATCAGTGTCTTTCTTATTAAGAAAATGAAAAGACAATGATAATGATAGACAAATACAGAAGTGTGCACACACCAAGGATATCTTTTTCCAAACCCTAGCCTTCCACTCCATCCACCTTCCTGACCGTTAATACATCCAGCTCCTGAAACCCCCCAAGCTTCTCAAAATGATCCAAAGATACCAAGACTGCGGGCCAGGAACTGAGGATGAGTGGAACGGGGTGGGGCTGGAACTCCAGGCCAGAACGCCTTGCAAAGGAGGCAAATACAATCCAGAAAGGCTGGGGAAGATGGCAGCAGAGGAAAAAGAAAAGCAAATTGAAAATGTAAACCAATCAGGACCTGAAGAGAGAAGTTGGGGGAATCACCAAGGGTACAGGGCCAGGTGATAGACTCAGATGAGACAGGAACAGTGTGGTCCCGGACAGGGGGAAAGGGAGATCAGAGATGGAAGGGAGGAAGAGGGGAATGAGAAGCAGGGAAAAGGCTACACAAGTATGAGAGATGTGAGGGATAAATGGTTGTGAGGGAGGGGTCTGGGTCAAGGTGAATGAGCTGGGATGAAGAGAAAAAGACCAGGCAAAGACAAGTGAGATGAGATGGGTTGAATCGGAGAGGTCCAACATGGAAGAGAAGGAAGGAGCCTGGAGGGCCACTGACTCCTCTAGATCTCCAGAAAGATCCAGGAAGGGCGGAACCCAGTAGGGTTCACAAAAGTCAGCCTCCAGCCGGGACAGACCGTGGACTGCCCTTTTGGCCCTCCCATCCCCTCTTAAGGCCACCCAGAGAAAGGAGATGCAAGACGAGAGGGGAAAGCCAGCGTGATGTGGAAGTAGCTCCGCCACCCTCTTCCTCTTCTTTAAGCTTTTGGTTTCTCAAATACCTGCCCGGCCTTTCCATCTGCTTCTCCCACCCCAACCCTTGGCAAAATCTCAGGGTTTCTTGGGAGGTGAGGGGGAGGGTCAGAAGGATTCTGGCCATCCCTCCAGTCCGCCCCCAAAAGACAGACTCCACATTCGCAGGCAGTAGGTAGGGATTCGGAGAGGTCCCTCCCCGCAGGAACCCCACCCCTTCCCACCTCCTCGCCCCACTCCTTTCTCCGAGACCGTCAGTCTCTCCATTTCCCCCTTCTGGTCCTGTCCTCCCTCCCGCCTCTCGCGCGCTCCCTCCCCTCGCTTTCATCCTCCTATCCCCACCTCGCCAACCTCGGCTTTCATCCCCCTCCCCTCTCTTCTCCTCCCCGCTCCCGCCAGCCCCACCCCTGGGAAGCCCCTCCCGTCGGGCAGCGCCGCCTTTATAAGCGGGTTCCCTGGCCGGGGGCGGCAGCGGCTGGTCGGCGGCAGCTCTGCTGGTGCGGGGGCGGCGAGCCGAGGACCTAGCGACCGCGGCCGGAGCGCGCCGGCCACCGCCCGCACCGCCCTTCCGCCCGCCCTCCGGACGGCCGCAGCCCTGCGGGTCTCCGTTCCAGACCCACCCCCGCCCCACCCCGCGCGCCTCTGCCGCCTCTTCCAGAGACCCAGCTTGCTGAGCGGCCGCCGCTGCCGCTGTCGCCGCCGCCGCCGTCACCGCGCCAGGTTCCGGCCGCGGCCACCCTCCGCCGTCCAGGGCCCCTCCGTCCCGGCCCCGGGACCCCGGCTCCCCGCCAGCCCCGGCCCCGGCACCATGTCGGAGAAGAGCGTGGAGGCAGCGGCCGAGTTGAGCGCCAAGGTACGGGCGGGGACGGCGGCGGCCCGGACCCCGCGCGACCCCCGGGCTCCGCGCGGTCTTGCGCCCCACGCCGCCCCCGACGGCCCCAAGCTGCCCCGGCGCCGGGTCCCAGTGGACCCCTCTCCGCCCTCCCCCCGCTCCCCTGCCCGGCGCTGCCTACCCGGCTTCGCGCGGCTCCCGCCAGCGCCCTCTAGCTTCCTGAGCGCTGCACGCCGCCGCTCCGGCCTCGCCGCTCGGCGGTCGCCCGGCCCCAGCCGCCGTCCCCACCCCTCTCCGGCTCCGGCTCGCGCGCCTCTACCCCGTCCGCTTCCCGTCGGAGCGCGCCGCGGCTCACTTTACCGTGCCCCTCCCCCGCTGCCTATCTTCGCGCCCCCTTTCCCCGTCTCTCCTTCCAGTCTGACCTCACCTTTCCTCCGCTAAGCGGTTTGAGATCCTTCAGAGTAAACAGGACTCTCCCGGGAGGCTGCTGCTTTCGGGCCCCTCCCCTCGAGGCCCGACTGCCTCTTGCTTCTCTCCTCGGACGGCTAGTGTCTCTGTCTGTCTTCTCCTCTCCTTTTCTTCCGTCTGTATCCATTTCTTCCCCCTACTGGCCTTCAGCTCTCTTTTCTCTCCATAGCCCCCTCCAGCCTCTCCCCCCTCCCCAACACAGACAGACTTAGAGTCTTGGATTCCTAAAAATCATGAAGGGAGGCGGGAATAGCCTTCGAGAAAGCTGAAGCTCAGCGTTGCAAGACAGTGCTTCGAGCCGTCCTTGTTCACATCGGCTCCCTTTCCTGGCCCCATCCCTTTGCCCTTGCCTCGCTTCCAGCGTTCCTCTAATTTCCCTAGGGAACCTGCTGAGTGTCGCTTTGGGAAATTAATTCGGCCAGCGTTTGGGGGCTGGGAGCCCGACTTGTATGGGGTGTGGGGGGGTTGGTTGTTGAGGAGGTCACAGAGGGCTCCTAGAGGCCCCCGAAGTGAAAGGGGGCCACCAGTGGGTTTAAAGGCAGTGGCAGCGAGGGGCTACGTGTGAAAGCTGATAAGGTGTGCCGTGGGGCCCTCCGGTGGGCTGTGCGGTGGCATGTGACTCCGCTGAGTAGGTGTCTTTGTATGTCTGAAATCCAGCGAGTGTGTGGGACTGCCCGTGTCAGTTACATGTGTGCATGTGGAGACGCGGATGTGCTGGAGCCATGTTGCTGCTTTGTGAGTGCCGAGTGGCTCCCCTGCGCTCTGGTGTGTCTCAGGAGTGTGTGCCAGAATGCCCAGACCCAGGCCATGTGTCTCCGGATCTCATGGGCCCTCCTCTGTAGCTGCGTGTGTGAATTGGTGCCGGCCTGTGTCAGTGTGAGTGCTTGTGTTGAGTAAATGAGGCCAGAGAGCTGCTTAGCACAAGACCTAGGTCACATACTCTCCTGGAAAAGGGATCATGGAAGGACAGTGACCAGAAGGACAGGACAGGGGAGGAGAGGGCCCGGCCCCTTGGACTTTGGTCTCCAGTAGTCTCCCTCCCTCCCTTCCTAGAATTCTCCCTCCCTCCCTCTGTCTGGGCAGCCCAGATGGGAAACTCAGGCCAGGGGAGCATAGACCGACCTGGTGCTGGGGCCCCTGGAGAGAAGCCGACCAGCCAGCCCCCGGCTCTCCAGGCCCAGGAAAGGCCCAGGATGCTGGGGAAAGCCCACCAGGTGGTAGAGATGCCCTGTCAACCATGGGGCAAAGAAATGAGGACGGGGAAGTGGCAGGAAGAAACCGAGCTGGAGTGAGAGGGTCTGGTGTCCTGTTTTCCTCTTAGAGGGAGAAGGGAATTGAGTGTCCCTCCAGGTCAGCCGTTCTGCACCAACCCCTACTGCTGTCCCTGATCCTGGTCCAGAAAGGACACACCCTCCAGGGTGATCTACTCACACAGAAAACTTCCATCCACATGGAATCAGATACACAGAGTTGTACGCCAACACCAGATCAGATCACACAGGGACACCCACAGCTGATCAGTGCCTGCCATGGGCAGTTGGGGAGGGTTGGGGGGGAAAGAGGACTGGAATCTAAACTGGAAGACACTGGGTGGTATCCAGAGAGAAGGGACTCAGGAGCATCTCCATCTGTCACAGCAGAATGGGATGTTAAATGTGCGCCTGCTGGGCTCCTGGGGGGATGAAGGAGGGAGGGTATCCCAGACAGGTATCTTCAGTCTCATCTCAGCCCAGCCCAGACACAGACCTTGTCTCTCTTCATCTACCATGTCCAGTACCCTCTCCCTTCCACGTTTCCTTTATCTTCCTTTACCGACATTGCCCCTGGAAATGGTCACTTCTACCCCTTCACCACACCAGTGCCGGCGCCAGGGGCACAGCACACGACACCACCTGCCAGGTGTAGGGAGGAAGAAACTACTCGAACTGGTTTGAAGTAGGTGTGCGTCTTGCTGGGGGTGCTCTCCCTGTTCCCGTGGTGTTTGGCCACGGAGGAGCCTGAGGAGTAGGGGGACACATGGACAGAGAAACAAAGGCATTCAAGGAGCCTGAGGGGGAAGCTGGGAGGGATGCCCAGGAGAGAGTACTCAGGAAAAGGCCCCAGAGGTAGACAAAAGGCAGAGCAGGGCAGGCAGCGGGAGGGGGCAGGCCAGGAAGGCGGAGGGCCCTCAAGAGGGGGTGGGGCATCAGGGCTGCAGCAGATGGAGGGGATTTGCTTTGCTGAGCTGAACTCTTCAGCCTGTGAGATTTTGGAGAACTTGATGGGAGTGAAGAGCAGTTACCTCGGCCATCCATTCCTCTGTTTTCATCACTCTCCCTCCTCCCTTGAGTCTTTGGGCAGGTGTCCGGTCCCAGCCCCCTCGTGGCCTTGAGGACCCTGGGACCTCTGTTTTGCCTGTAAGCTACTGTAGCCAACTCCTTCATTCTCCCAGTCCTCTAAGCTCACTGCAGCAGGAGAACGGGGCGAGAGGGACCGGCTGCAGCTCATTTGTGGTGAGAGGAAGGTGACCTCTTTCTCTCTTGCAGGACCTGAAGGAGAAGAAAGAGAAGGTGGAGGAGAAAGCCAGCCGAAAAGAGCGAAAGAAAGAAGTGGTGGAGGTGCTGAGGGGTCGGAGGGGTCGGAGAGGTTGGGGGAAGAGACTCGGGGCTCCCCTCCACTTCCCTGGGGTTGGGGGCGGCTGGGTCCTGCCTTGGCTCTGGCCCCTCCCAACCCTTCCTGCCCCACCCTTGGCCCCTCCAGACGCCCCTGCCCTTGGTGGTGGTGGAGGCACCCAGCAGCCTGACGCTGCTCCCTCTCCCCTCTCTCTGTCCTCACAGGAGGAGGAGAACGGAGCCGAGGAGGAAGAAGAAGAAACTGCTGAGGACGGAGAGGAGGAGGATGAAGGGGAAGAAGAAGGTGGGGAGGGGCAGGGGAGGCTGGGCTCAAAGGAACTGAGTCAGGGTGGGTTTGAAGACCTGAAGCAGGGCTGAGGGCAACCACAGGGGGTCTGTGCCAGAGCTTCCTGCCCTTCCCCAATGACCCATTTCTGGCTCCTCAGATGAGGAAGAAGAAGAAGATGACGACGAAGGGCCCGCGCTGAAGAGAGCTGCTGAAGAGGAGGTTTGGGCTGGGTTGTGGGGCCTGAGGGGCTGTCAGGGATGCAGCAGGGGCTGGGAGCCCTTTGGACTTGGACCTGGATCCCTGTGGTGCGTGGGGTGGGGCTGGAGCAGGGCAGGGACAGGGGGAGGTCTCGCTCCCGTTTTGCAGCTACCCCAACTCTCCTTCCACAGGATGAAGCGGATCCCAAGCGGCAGAAGACAGAAAATGGGGCGTCGGCATGAGCCCCCTGCCAATGGGCTGGGGGTGGGAGGCCCCTCAGGGCCTGGAGGTGGGGGTGGGAACAGACGAGTGCAGCCACTGTCCACCTGGCTCCTGGCTCTGGACCCTGCACCAGAGCTGCCACCCTCTTTGTCCCCAGCCTTTCTCATGTCCGCCTCTCCAGACACTGCCCCTTCTATCCTCACTCTGCCATTGTTCCACCTCTTGACCTGCTCCATCTGAGCTCCCCAGCTGGTCCCAATTGCTCTTCTTCCTGTCCTTGCTCTCTTCCTCCCTTCCCCCACTCCTCCTCCGGTAGCCTCTCCTTCCTCACCTCTGCATCCCAGCCTCATGTCCTGTCCATCCCTACCCTGCCTGATCCCTGGGTCTCCCTCAGATCCCTTTCTCTCAGACAGCGCCAGGCCGGGGTGGGGCCAGGGTTGGGGCCGAGCCCCACAGCTGCCCCCCTCCTCTCCCCTCCCCTTTTTGTATAATTTAATAAAGAAACGGTCGCGCTTCTGTTTTTAACCTGTCTCCTGCTTTCCGGGGACAGAGGGAGGGGGGTGGCAGACGGCACATTCCATCAGGACCCTTGTCTTCTATAAAAAAGCAGCCAAGCCCTGCTACCAGCCACCACTCAAGAAGACAAAATCAGTGTTCCAGGGGTGGACCCGGAGCCTGCAGCTTCTTTGAGAACTAACTTCTTTCCTGGTTTTGGATTCTTGGGGATGCTCCTCCCCAGCAGAACATACACACTTCCTTGCTAGCCCACACCAGGTCTAGACACTGCTGAGCCCAGTGGAAAGCTACCAGCTCTGTTGTGCTGAACCAGGCAAAGAAGCAGCGTCAGAAACAGGAAGTCCCGCCCCTGAAGTGGGAGAGGGATGAGAGGCCTGGGTCTCAGCCTCCTGGGACCTGGAGAGACAGTTGTCTGGCATCAAACCTGTCCTCCACCAGGCAGGGAGGAAGTGAGCACTCCGTTGGGCAGGGGAGAAGTCCAGGGCCTCTCGTGGTTCCCAGGTGTGGTACAAGGTCTTCGCACTCAGGCTCCAGCTCTCTGGGCCAGGCTCCTCCGGCTGGGTGGGGTGGGGAGCAAGAATTCCCCTGTCAGTCAGACTTCCTTCTCTAGTTCTCCGTTTTTCTTGAGTTTGGTCTCTGTTTGAGAATTTCTCCCTATCTCCCTTGGCTTGTTAGTTAAAACCTATGGATCGGGAAAAGCTGCTGAGCACACAGGGGTCTTGAACTGGAGGAGTGTGTGTGGGTGTGACACACATTGACCCCACCATTCTTCAAGAGGACACGCATAACTCACCCAGAGTCTGGACTACAGACCCCTTTTGGCTTCATACTCTCTAACTGACCTTGGTCAATTAATCTTTGAGCCTGCCTCAGTTTCTTCATCTGTACAATGGGGGATACATTTCATGAGTTACTGTCTGTAAAGTATCCAATACAGTCTCTCCACCCCATATCTTCACTAGTATATAGTGAAGGCTCATTATAATGTAGCTTTTCTTTTCCAGGGAATTGGGGTGCCCCTCCCCACACCTGCCATCTTTTAGGTCTGCTTTATTCCCAAAGAGCCATGGGATGGGTGGGGAGGCTGAGTGAAAGTCCTGGAAGGTTAAGGGAATGAGGGAGAAGAGGAGTACCAAGAAAAGGGCTTGCCAAGAAGAAAGTGTTAATGTTGGGACTGGAGTAGCAGCTTAGAGTTGGGCAAGCAGGTAGTCCAGGAAGAAATGGCTTGGAGAGAACACAGAAGGCCCAGGGTAGGAGGAATAGTCAGATGGGTGGGGGAGGGGAGGGTTCGGTGGGGACACCCAGGACTGAGGAAATAAACAAGGGGAGCGCCACCACAGAAGTGGAGGGTAATGCTGCTGGGAATCAACCCCCTCAGACTTTCCACTGCGAAGCGAAACTGTGAGCTTTGGGGTGTGTGGGGGGGGGCGACGGGGAGGGGAAGTGGGGAAGGTGGAGGGAAGGCAGAAGGACAAGGGCAAGGGCCCTGGAGCAGCCGAACTGCCTCCCAGCTCAAGACAGCAACCTTGCCTCCGCTCTACTCTCTGCCACTGCCCTGCCCATTTGCTGGGAACCTCCCCTCCCCCCCCCCCCCCCCCGACCCCCAACTCCTGCTGCCTGATCTGGCCAGCTTGCCACTAGATTCCAGCCTCCTGTCATTGGCTCTTCCCTCTATCTCTAGGTCTCTGTCCTTGTCCCTCTTCTAGATTCCCTTCCTCCACCCCAAATCTTTGCAGAACTCTCTTTTGTCCATCTGTCCCTCCCTTCTTTCTGACCTCTTCCCTTTGGGGGCTCAGCGTGGCCCAGGCCCAAGGGGAGATGTGGGAGGCTCAGTTCCTGGTTCTGCTGCTTCTGCAACTGCGGTGGGTGGCTCCAGGTAAGATGGGGCTGACCCTCTGGGAGGGCTGCCCTCCAGACCCACGGGTGGGGAGGGGGTGGTCAGCAGGGATGTCTGGACCTCACAGATGCCAAGGTCCTTAGCTTGGGTGGATTCTTCTAATGCCTTGCTTGGGGCAGTCCTTCTGCCCCCAAAGCCTCTCTTTAGTCTTCCCATTGGGTGGGGAAGGGACAGAAACCCAAGGTCTTCCTCAGCCCTGTGTCTCCTTCAGGTAACTGAGGCTCCTTCTCTACTCCTAAGTCTTTTGGCTCATGGCCCCTCCCCTTGGCCTCTTTTTTCCTCCCCAGTGGAGGCTCCAGGGTCTGGGACAGAGGTCCCAGTGGTGGTGTGGGCCCAGGAGGGGGCTCCCGCTCAGCTCCCCTGCAGGCCCACAATCCCTCCCCAAGATGTCAGCCTTCTGCGAACCGCAGGGGTCACTTGGCACCATCTACCAGACAGGTATGCATCTGTAACTCGGGCAACAGGATCCCCCAAATCCAACAGCATTGGCATCCCTACTCATAACCCCAGGCCCAGTCTAGCCATCGGTCTCCTCCGCTGAGCTGTCAGTCTCTGAAGCCAGTGGCTCAGCTCCCCCCACCCCGCCCGCCCCGCTGCCTTTCCTGGGAAAGACTGCTCCCCTCACACCTGCATCCCTTCCACACCTGCCTCTCCAGAGAGTGGGTGGCGCTGGCCCAACCCGAGGGGAGACGGGCATGGGGACGGTTAGCGGGCAAGAGATCTCCTCTTGGGTGGCTTTCCTCCTCCTCGAAGTGGTGCAGGCTTCTTCGCCCTCGAATTTCTCAGCCCCGTCCCTCTCTCCCGCCCAGCAGCCCTCCAGCTCCCGCGCCCAGCCTGCGCCCCGCCGCGCCCTCCGCCCGGGGCCCCGGGCCGCGCCGCTACGTGGTGCTGAGGCTGGCGCCCGGCGGCCTTCGCAGCGGGAGGCCGCCCCTGCAGCCCCGCGTGCGGCTGGAAGACCGCGGCCTCCAGCGCGGGGACTTCTCCCTGTGGCTGCGCCCGGCCCGACGCGCCGACGCCGGGGACTACCGCGCGGCCGTGCACCTCCGGGACCGCTCCCTCGCCTGCAGCCTCCGTCTGCGCGTGGGCCAGGCATCCAGTAGGTGGGGGCGGGCCGCGGGGAGCGGGGCTGTCGGGGCTGAGGCCGGGCGCCGCCGTCCCCGTCGCCCCGGAGGCAGGAAGGGCCGGGGGTAGGGGCTGTGCTTCCCAGGAGGTGCCCGGGGCCCCGGCCGAGAGCCCCTAGTAGGGGAGCGGGAGTGGGTGTGGAGGAGAGTGGCAGGGGGCCCCCCCAGGGGAGCACGTGTGTGGGGAGAGGACCCTACGGAGAGACTGTCTCACCCTGGGGCTCCCCTCCCCCACCCACACTGGGAGTGCCAGGGTGGAGGAGGGGAGGCACCCCTGGGTTGGGGGGAGAGTGCAGGGCTGGAGTGACTCATTTCAGACATCTGTAGCTCAGGGGGTGGGCTTAGTGGGGATCCTCAGGCAAAGTCTGCAGAAAGGGAAGGGTGGGGGGGCAGGGGTGTAGGGGGGAGGGGAAGGAGGCAGGAGGTCCCAGAGCATCCATTTTAAATATCTCCAGGTACCAGGCACTGGACTGAAGTGGCGTGGGGGGACGGGGAAGGGGGCTTTGCAGGGTGGTGGTGGGAGGAGGGTTGCCTTTTGTCTTCTAGGAGAAGACAGGTGTTTGCGGTAGGGCTAATCAAACCTCCTTTATCCCTGAGCAGTGACTGCCAGCCCCCCAGGGTCCCTCAGGATCTCCGACTGGGTCATTTTGAACTGCTCCTTCAGCCGCCCGGACCTGCCAGCCTCTGTGCACTGGTTCCGGGGCAGAGTCCCTGTTCGGGAGTCCCCCCATCACCACTTAGCTGGAAGCTTCCTCTTCCTGCCCCAAGTCAGCCCCTCAGACTCTGGGCTGTGGGGCTGCATCCTCACCTACAGAGATGGCTTCAATGTCTCTCTCACGCACAACCTCACGGTTCTGGGTAACTTCTTCGGGCTGCCTTCACCCTTGGCCACAACCCCTCCCTGCCCGCCATCACCTCACCCTCACTTCTGGGTCCCCAGACCAGGTCTCCAGCAGCTAGCTAGAGCCCACCGTGAATGCTCTGGGCCTCACTTTTACTTCGCATTGCAACATTTTAGCTGCCTTCCCCACTCCCGGCTTTTCCCTGGGCCATCCAGCCTCACTGGCAGCCTTTGGTCTCCTGCTGGCCCATGTGGGGGGCTCTGAGCATCCTCAGTTCACCCACATTACTCTGCTCCCTTGGGCTCTTCAGAGCCAGACCCCCTCCTTTGCTCTTCTGCCTCGCTTCCCTGCTCCAGCCTCTCTGTACCTCCCCTCTCTGCTTCAACTTTAGCTTCTCCTTCTTCCCCAGGTCTGGAGCCCTCAGGGCCTCTGACGGTATACGCTGGAGCTGGTTCCAGGGTGGACCTACCCTGCTGCCTGCCCCCTGGTGTGGGGACCCAGTCTTCTCTCACTGCCAAGTGGAGCCCTCCCGGGGGAGGCCCTGACCTCCTGGTGGCTGGAGACAATGGCAACTTTACCCTCCAACTGGACGCTGTGAGCCAGGCCCAGGCGGGGGCCTACACCTGCCGCATCCATCTGCAGGGACAGCAGCTCAGTGCTACAGTCACTCTGGCAGTCATCACAGGTCAGCCCCAGGTGGGAAAGGAACTCCCATCACAGGGGAGCTGGGACAGGGAGGCCAGGCCTTGGCTGGGCCAAGACTGGGCAGATCTGCTTCATGATGCTAGGCCAGTGGGCACACGTCGCAGAGGCAGCCCTAGTGGCCTCCTCCTTTCTCGCCCCCACATAAAGAACTGAAACTGAAAATCTCCCCTGAGTCACTAGGTGAACATTCCGCTCTCCTCTAAGGGACTCCCCTGCTGTGAATTGGGAGGAGGGTCTGAGAAGTTAGAAGGAGAGGTGGCAAAAGTTTGAATGGTTCAAAAGAGGGGGACTCTATCTCTAGAATCCTCCTCTACTTGGGGACCAGTGCTTGGGTTCAAGTTGCAGGAAGTGGTTTGGATTTGGGAGGAGTTAATAAATCAGTCCCTTGGTCAGCAAATATTTACAGAGCAAGGGCTTTTTTTTTTCTTTCTTTTTTTTT